CTATAGACGTATGTCATCTGATGATAGCTTAGATATATGTCATCTGTTGACAGCTATAGATATGCGTCATTGATCGTTTGATCAGGTGGTAAACACGTGTCATTGAGCTGGTGACAACTATAGCGATGTGTCATCTGATCTAATACTAACGTGATATCGTCTGTAAAACTCGGGCCTTTAAGATTTGATTATCAAGAGATGACTCAGGAGAAAGTTTCGCATCCACCGGTCCCGAAAGTCTCGAGTTCGCATCCCTAGCTCCAGTCGGTAGGACGTCTCTGAGTCCACCCAGCTCTGATGGGTACCTGACTCACGTAGGGAAAGTAAAAGTAGCTATGTAGAGTGCTGTCCACACTATCCCTTCGTATGCCAAGATCACACAAACATAAGAACTCTACTTTACCCGCCCCTAACCTTAAGGTTAGAAAGAGTATTTTACTCTTTTCTTTTCAATAGTACCGATATGGACCCTACTATCTTTTTTACAAACTAGTAAGGCCTTTTTCTTTAATTCAACTCCTTAATAATCTACCAACAAATGCCCGTAACATTAGACCATAGTAAACTCACATCTATACTGTATATTTTGTTGGTACTTATATTACACAGAAATTAAAACAATAATTGTTAAGTAACGTTTCTAAGATTTGACTGTGTAAATGCAGTCATGTACAAATCACTACACACTTGTTTCATACATACACACTGAGGCGTAATTGGTTTAATTATCTTGATTGCTTAAAAATCAATATTTCCAATCACTCGTTTTTTTATCATTTGTTATTGGCATTAGGTCCAGTGACACGTTTCCTGGAGCAACCAGATCGATTCAACTGTTGTACTCACTGGTATCGATGTTGCTTTTATACTTCCTTATGTCTATTCTACTTTTATGCCATAAAAATCGACTCTTTTATTAAACTCACCGGCGTAGTTTCTGCCCCCCCCCCATCCACTTTACAGTATTACATGCAAACCACCTTGTTGAGTGGATTAAATATGGCGTTTCACCCCTGTCTGGCTGGGTGTGAGGTAGGGGGGGGGGTGTAAGTGGATTGCGTCTATAAACCTTCTATTTACAATACACATATATTCAGTTACAATATATATAGATATATATATATATATTAGCTGCATACCTGTGTTCCGCCATGGTAAATTTATTTTAAATGCACTAACTTAGGAACAGAACAAAACTAAACACAAGCAAAAACACAAACTCAAACACAACACAAACACAAACGAAAACACAAACAAAAACACACTAACACAAAAGAAAAAAACAAAAGCAAATAAAAACACAAAGGAAAACACAAACACAATGCAAACACAAATGCAAACTTAAAAAAACACAAATGAAAACACAAACACAACACTCATAACATAAACACGACTTAAATGCAAACATAAACGCATAGTGCTCACCGTGTAGCCCGTGGCGCCAAATAGCACCATGACCGAGCGTTGGCGGACGCGCCTGATTCAATTTCGTGAACGAATATAAAACCCCCAGCTTTTCCGCAAACCGAAAGATAGAAACAATAATTAGTAAACAGTTCGTTCAGCGTATAAAATAAAAAAATATTACCTTTTAACAATCGATTGTATGCAGTGGCGTAGCGAGGTCGGGTGTCACCCGGTGCGGCACTTAATGACTTAATGGTGTCACCCCCCCCCAGAGGCATAGAGACCCTTCCCAGGGACAAACTTTCAAATTTTCGATTTGCACCCCCCCTCGAGTTTTCGATTTGCACCCCCCCTCGAGTTTTCGATTTGCACCCCCCCCCCCCTAAAACTTTCGATTTGCACCCACCCCCCTCGAGTTTTTCTCTATATATTTTGCTATTTTTTGCCTTGGTGTCACCCCCCTAAATGGTGTCACCCGGTGCGGTCCGCACCCCCCGCCCCCCCCCCCTCGCTACGCCCCTGATTGTATGAAAAGGACGACATGTGATGTGTTTACCTTTACGGTTCCAAAATCTATAGCGATGACAGACTTACACACTACCAGCAACGTTATATTATAGATATATTTATTTAACAGATGCATGTATTCAGATACAAGATGCAAATATTCAGTTAATAGACACATATATATTTAGTTACAAGTAGCATATACTAATAGACGCATATATGTAGTTACTTGTTGCATATATTCATCCCATGAACCTGTACCGAACTGACTTTCACGCATGTTTTGTAACATTAAATAATGTTGTACATCTGTCTTGTGCTGTGAGATTAGGTACTCACACCATCTGACTAAATCTTAACTTACTTTGACGGGATTAACCGAGACGCCTGTCGAAGATCACAGAATTAAAAATATTATCAATAACGAAATTTGAAAGAAATGTCAAATTAATTTTTCATTTTTTCGAACTCCCTATAAACTGTTTAGCGATTGGTATTTAATACGTACTTCATGCTGCGTTAAAAATGTCTTACTTCTTCTTCTCCGATAACCCCCCTCCCCCCTCAGTTACATGGCGTCATCCTTATGTCCCCCCCCCCCCTTCTAGATTAGATACTATGTCTCGTAACATGAAATCGATCTGTAAAGAAGCTTTTCTAACATAACCATACAGCAGAGCAGCGTTGTGGTTTTAGCCGGGAGCAACCTTTTAAATATTTAATGAAATGTCTTAGCTGTCTTTTTAAAACTCTGCGGTAATTAAATGTTGATTATATTTTTTGCAGCACCCTTTTATATTTTGTTTGTTTTACAAGCAGCGTCTACGTATTTGATGTTAGGAATAGAAGAGGTAAAAAATCAATACCTCATCGATATAGCCAATCGTTTGAGATAGGAGCTGTGAATAAATGATTCTTTCCAATACTCAAAATGTGTTCTCAATTTTCGCCATTTCAAGTTTATATATATATATATATATATATATATATATATATATATATATATATATATATATATATATATATATATATGTATGTACACACACACACACACACACACACACACACACACACACACATATATATATATATATATATATATATATATATATATATATATATATATATATATATATATATATATATATATATATATATATATAAACCTTAAAATAGAAATTTCCTAACGTTAATCGTCGTTAGGCTAGAATCACACAACAATACACCCCCCACCCGAAACAGATTCACAAGTACTATTTCCTGAAAAACTATGTTTTTATTAAGCCAGGTGCTGTTCGATTACAAGATGAACCCGTAGTGAATTGAAGTTCACACACGTTTTGAAGATGCAAATATAGTATGCCAAACAAAGAGAGTTTCATATAAGTGAACTAAAAATAAAATAAAAAATAAAATCAGCGTCCGACCTTAAAATCTGCTTGACAACGTATAATTAGATACACTAATTAATGTCATGAGCACACTCGAGTTTTTGTGATGGGAAGATCACTCGATTTTTTTTACGAACGTAAGGGTTAGTAGAATAGATAAGTTATGGTCAACTAGATTGCTCTTGTAAAATGATGTAATACATCCTAACAGATGAATTACTAATGAACGCTAACTTTCATTTGTCAATGATTTTAGGATTTTGTCTTAGTACTTTTTAAAAACTTAATAATAACGCGACCACCCGTCATATACATGGATTTAGTATTGACGAATTATGCAAATCAGGGGAGTTAACCACATAATATTTCATATTTATAAGTGTATACATAGGTTACCTTCCTTAGAAAGAGATCTACATGAGAAATAATAAAAAAAATTTCTCACGTAGGACTGACATGAGTTCCCATCTTGACGATGTATGAACCCGGGAGTGTTTCTTCCAGATTCTCTTCCATCCCCCACCCCCGCCAAAGAAGAAAGTCTACCGCACCCCTCCCCCCCCCCGATATAAATGGAATATAAATAGAAAACTTATACTTTTACCAGTGTCTACCGCCCCCCCCCCTCCCCCCGAAATAAATGGAATATATATTGAAAACTTATACTTTTACCAGTGTCCTGTCCGCCGCCCCCGCGGAAATATCAAGTGCCCCCCCCCCCCCCCCCGGAAAAAAAGTCAGGAAGAAAGACTGGAACTCACCCATCTTCGATAGACGGCTTAACTGTAAAAGTGGTCACACGGGCTCTACTTCACCTATACTCATGGTGTCCTAAACCGAGACTGTTGTTTACTTTTATTTAGACCAGCTACAAGATTGTGAAGCCAACTGTTCTTAGGTGAATATAAAAGAAGTTCAACATAGCAGTTCAACATAGCAGTTCAATAGTACTTTAAAATAGCAGTTCAACAATAACAAGGCATTACAGCTTATATTCTACAATAGCATGAATACAGGAATTATTTATAATAAATGTAACAGCACCATGTATAAAATATTTTTTTGTACATATTTAACAGTATATTAATATTAAGTATACCAATTTAGTAGTATTTTTGTTACCGGTCCATAACAATACATTTTCCACTATATATGTACATATATTATATACAACTACACGGTCCATGAGAGCAAATCAGTACGGCCACTTACATACACATATTGCAGCACATAGTAAGGCAGGAAGACAACCCCAATGTTGTGAGCTATTGGCATAATAAAATCATACACTCAGCAAGACAGGGAGGCAACCCCCATGATATGAGTTATTAGTGTTTTTCATTCCCACAGCTAGGCAGGGAGACAACTCCCTTGTTGTGAGTTATCGCTGGTACGTGCTCTTTATACATCCAAGACACGTTACCTAATCACTAATCAGTCAGGTAACTAATTAGAGTACACGTTAATTAAAAGCACGTTAGGCCTGCTTACGCGAAAAGTTTACGACTGGTGTCATTAAAAAAATTGCCTCCGAGTATACTGGTAATGAAACCATTAATTGTTTTACTGCTGTGTTTGGTTATATAGTGACCTAAAATAATTACTAAATTGTTACAACTGATGTTTATCTAAATTAAAGTTTTTGCCAATAGATCTAGATCTATTACCCTGGCCCTAGGCCAAAAAGTATTGATTTAAAATCAGATCAAATTCTAGCGACATTGATCAAGATAATCCATTCTGGAGCTGTTAACAGTGGGAATCCATTTCTATGTGACTGTGATGGTGAAAGATACTTCAATGATAAAATAAAGATATTGAAAGATAATCTCTAAGGACTTAACACTGTGAAACTCGATGATGGAATAATTATTTATCTAACTATACGACAAGCTTGTGAAAGAATGGATTCCATATCAGTTGTACTAGATTATGTAAACAGCATAGATATTGACTCTTGGGTGCTGTGGGTTCTGTACCCCATTCTGATCACCTTTTTACTACCTTCATTTATCATCCTCTTTCTATACCTCTCTTCTCTTATGCTGTTTATATACAAGCAGCGCATGAAACTTAAAGCTGCATATGACCATGATTTCTGGGATGGCGCAAGAAAAACCCTTGGTGCACTTTGGTGGGCACAAGCAAGAACATGGCATGGTTATGAGGTGGAAGGCCTCCACCACATCCCAGAATCCGGGCCTGCATTAATTATCTACTACCACGGCGTCCTCCCTGTTGACATCTATTATGTCCTTACAACTGTTTTGCTAGAGAAGGGCCGACTAATTCACTTGGTTGGTGATAAGTTTTTATTTCACATTCCAGGTTGGCAGACGCTAATGGAAGTGTTTAATGTGACTCCTGGCACCGTGACCAGCTGTGTCGACCAGTTGAAAAATGGACATCTGCTGTGTATATCTCCAGGGGGTGTTAGAGAAGGACTTTTTAGTGATGAAAACTATGGCATCATGTGGAACAAAAGATGTGGCTTTGCTAAAGTTGCCCTGCAGGCTAACGTGCCCATAATTCCAATGTTTACAGTAAATATCAGAGAAGCTTTTAGAACACCCAACTGGGCCAGAGCATGGTTCCGAGGCTTGTATGAGAAGACCAGACTTCCGCTGGCGCCTGTCTATGGATTATTCCCAGTTAAACTCAAAACAATATTTGGTGAGCCTATCCTGGCAAACCCTAACTTCACTGCAGAGGAGCTTGCAGAAGCTGTGAAAAGTGCTTTGGAATCTCTAATTGCAACTCATCAGAAGTGCCCTGGCAATATACTGCGCGCATTGTTAGAAAGAATTCCCTTCTTCAGATGAAACGATTTTGCTCCCATTTCTGCTGTGTTCACTTAAGAGTTGCATCAATATCCCAAAACAAAAAATTTAAAAATGCCATTCATTTTGTTTTTCATTTGTAAATAGCTCAACCATATTTATTTCTTTTACAAATACCCAGCTGAATCTGTGATAATCATCACAAAGCAATTTATTTCAAATAAAAAAAAACAACCAAGCATTTAAAAAAAAAAAAAAAAAAATTTACTGTAATATTCCACAATAATATTTTTCAAATATCAACGAGAGTCAAAAAAAAATATATCAAATTGTTAATTTCAACTATTTCTTTGATTCATCCCAGCACCCCTTGAATAATCTGAGACTATTTCCTGTATGTAAAAAGCCGAATTTGAACAGTACCTCGGCAGCTATATATCAGCAAATGGCAGCATGGAGAAAGAAATAGCCACCAGAATAGCAATGGCAGCACAAACTTTCAACAGACTTGCTAAGATCTGGAAATCATCCTCACTGCAGCAGGGAACTAAAATAAGAATCTACAAGTCTAACGTACGTTCTGTACTCCTCTATGCTGCAGAGTCATGGAAACTAAACAAGAAAGGAGAGAGCCGACTCAGAGGCTTTGAAAGAAGATCCCCCCAATGTATCCTCAGAAAAAAGTTGGACGACAAAGTCCCGAACAAGGTAATACGACGAAGGACAGGATTAAACGACATTGTTTCAGAATTTTGAATGAGGAGATGGAGATGGCTGGGCCATGTCCTACGCATGAGCAAAAGAAGACTCTCCAACATGGCGCTGAAGTGGACTCCGCCTGGAAAGCGAAAGAGAGGAAGACCACTGGGAACATGAAGGAGAGAGATGGAAGAAGAAGTGCTGGCTTCAGGCAAGACCTGGCATGAACTAAAGTGGCTCGCCCAGGACAGAGTAGAATGGCGGAGATTTATTGCTGACCTATACTCCACAGGGAGTGATGAGGATTAAGTAAGTAAGTAAGTATGTGGGTGTTGGGGGAGGGTATAATGGTCTGTCTTGTGGATATCATTGACCTTGTAGCATCCGTCATGAACTGTACCCCCCCCCACTCTATAAATGTCAACATAGAAGTTTAAAGAGTATAGTGGCGAAGAAAAAACAACAAAGAAAATAATTAACAAAGCAAAAAAAAAACAGCTAAGATTAACCAACAATTTTCAGAAAATATAAAAAAAGGGTAAAAAACAACAACAAAACAAACAAAACTATAAAATTAGATAATATAAATTTGTTTCTTCTAAAAAAAACACCAAACAAAGCAGAGGCGTAGCGAACCATCCTAAATTTAGGGTTATTCACGGTTAAGAAAAAGACCTAACTTGGAAAAGCTGGGACACTTTTTATCAATGATTGTGCCTTAACATTTGTTAAGTTTTACACACAGTTAAATAAAACCAAATAGCAGTCTATTGTCGTAACTTTGACTGTGTTAAATTAATAAATGCAGCTCGGAATGAGCTACCTTTTTTTCTACCCCGCATGGCTCGCTCCCAGGGTAGGCACCTGGGACGCCCCCCCCCCCCCCCAATCCATCCTTCCCTAGCAATTTCCTCTGGAACCGACTGGTGTAATCTTATGACAGAAAACGGATTTCATTGAATAACACAGGTGAATCAAGGCCCACAGGACGCCTGGTACTTGAGCTTATAATTAATAGCCGATCCTATACATCGATGAAAAGATAAGCCGTTGCTATGGCAACTCCCAAAACACAGCATGGGGGTCATCAACGCTCCTATGGTACGTCACATCAAGGGTGGCGGAGGTTGGTAGTGAAGAAAGTTGGTGCGCATTTGTGGTGAGTTAGATTGCACTGGTGCCGCCTAACTGTGGTGCGCATGTGTGGTGAGTTAGATTGCACTGGTGCCGCCTAACAGTGGTGCGCATTTGTGGTGAGTTAGATTACACTGGTGCCGCCTAACAGTGGTGCGCATTTTTGGTGAGCTACTGTTCAGCGTGTAGGGACGGAGTGGTCCAATGGTAGAGCATACGACTATTAACCTTAATGTCTCAAGTTCGAATCCGGGTTCAAGTACGTAGAACGTCCCGGAGTTCACCCAGCTCTTATGGGTACCTAACTCACTTTAGTGAAAGTAAAGGCGGCTGGGCATAGAGCTGACCACAAATGCCGAGGTTACAAAAACAGGTGGACTTCACTTTCCCCATGGACGTTAGGTTTGAAAGGGAACTTCACTTAGAGTGGCGCCCACTGGTGGTATGCATATATGTGAGATGTAGGAAAATTAGCTGTGTTCAATAAATTATGTTTGACATGGCAGATCAGGAATCTGAATACTAGAATTTGTTTCTGATTGTTAATGCGAAGTACATGTCTTGATTTAGCTGTGTAGGCCTATAAAGTTGTGCGAGATTTGCGAAGCCTGTTTTTAGAGGTGGGTTTTAGCGAAGTATTTTTTTTTATTAGTGAAGAGGTATTTGAGAAGTGGGTTTTTAGAGACGGATTTTTGAGAGGTGCATTTTTAGAGGAGTTATAAGAGTAGGTTATAAGAGATAAAAATTAAGAGATTTTTCTTGAGAGGTGGGTTTTTAAGAGGTGTTTTTTTTTAGAGATTGTTTGAGGATGGGTTACTAGATTTGGAGTTTGAGAGAATTTTGATAAATTAGTTTTACAGGCGGATTCCGAGAATGTGTTTATGATTATTAATTTCAACAATAGTAGCAGAAACATCATCAACAACAACTGCTACAGCAGCAGCAACAACAACAACTACAACAGCAACATCAAAAACAATAACAACAACAACACCTGCAACAGCAGCAGCAACAACAGCAACAACTGCAACTACAACTACAACAGCAACATAAAAAACAACAACAACAACTGCAACAACACCTGCAACAGCAGCAGCAACAACAGCAACAGCAACAACTGCAACTACAACTGCAACAACAACAGCAAAAGCAACAACAACAACTGCAACAACAACAACTGCAACAACTGAAACAACAACAACTGCAATAGCTACAAGAACAACAACTTCAACACCAACAACAACTGCAACTAACAATAACGTGAATTTCTATTTTCAAGCACCAATACATACTTTCTCGTCTAATTTCCTATTCTGCCCAACGCGGTGAAGCATGTTAACTTTTAAACCCACATTTCCCAACATTTTAAACAACAAATCAAGCAGAAAGAAAAATGTTTATGTTTTTTTTTAACATTCTCTACAATCTAAGCCACGACCTAAATAACCTCCTTACCTATATACACTCTTAACAATGACATACCTATATGGAGGGAGGGAAAGGAGGGGGGATGACTCCTGTCAGTTAATAAGCCCGCCCCTTCCTCCCAACTTCGCAAACGTACACGATTTCTCCCCCCCCCTCCCCCCCCCCCCCCACGGCGCACTAGCGGCTGAGCAAACAGGCATGCCGCTCGTCCATGGTTTTTTTATTTTTATATGAGCGAGCATGTGCACGCTGGGGATGTTCAGTCGTGTGTGAGTCGCCGTGTGCACGTGCATTCGTGGTACTCACTCGTGCACGATACAGGACATGCTGTAGGACATTGTTTTAGGACATGTTTCAGGACAGGTCGAGCAGTGTGTCGTGTTGTTACAAAACAACTGTGCTGTAGGATGAATTAATTTACAAATTAATAAATTACTCATTTCTTTTTGGAAGTGTATGCAAATCAATTAACAATTTAAAACATTTTGTTATGAAATTAAAGACAAAAATAATTATACTTGAAATATAAAAATATAATTATGGTTTGATATTAAGAGATTTTTATCGCTATCGTATATTATTTAAATAATTGAATCCTGAATGAAATCGATAATTTTATAAACTATTTAAGTCATCAATGGATGTTTGAAGTAACACATCAGATCGGCTTCAATTAAGATTAATTTCTCACAAAGGGACGTAACCGTGAATTTGTTTTGTTTTTTTTAAAAAAATCCAAAGTTCCGAAACTTTCCTTGGATATCTGAGTGCAGGATATCAAGATGTCTCAACGAAGATTCACCAACGCTAAAATCGTCATCCTAGGTGGCTCTGGCGTCGGGAAAACAGGTAAATCTCATGTTTTGTGTTGGTTCCAGATTAATTAACGATAATCTTTCAACAGTAATGATATAAGCCGCCAACCAGAATTAAGATTGAATTTGTTGGTATAAAATTATAATTTGTCTTTTTTAACAAATTAGAAAGACGTTTAGACGAATGTAGAATTAAGCTAAAACCAATGAACAATAAGTACTTAAGCATTAATAACTACATGGCTAGCTCGTAATGTGTACGTGGAGAGTGCTTAGAGTGTACACATGAAGAGTGCTTACAGAGTGCTAATCCAAGACCGTAGATAGTAAACATGCGGGTGTTTTGAGAGTAATAACACGAGGGCTTTGAGAGTAACAACGCGAGTGTTTAGAGAGTAATAACACGAGGGCTTTGAGAGTAACAACGCGAGTGTTTAGAGAGTAATAACACGGATGTTTAGAGAGTAAAAGCGCGAGTGCTTAGAGAATAAAAGCGCGATTGCATGCAGAGTAATTATCGAGCACTTGGCAAGAGACTGTAACAGACATAAAAATGTTATTTGCTAATTAATTAGTGAATGCGAGATTTATGTCGACTACTGTTTTTACATAATTCACGTCACAATGTAAACGAACGTAAACTCTCTAGTTTACACATTAACCATAGACAGCTTTGTAATTCTTACCCACCATCATCGAAACATAACACAGAAGCATGAATGTAATCCTTACATGTTATCATCCAAATAACACGTAGGCATCAATTTAATTTATAAAAAAACTCACTCATTACATGTAGGTATCAATGTAATCATTACATATTTCTTTAAAAGATAAACATGTAGGTAAGTATGTAATCCTTATCGACTACCAACAAAACAGAAGCACAAGAACATACACATAACACAGTAACCCTATACCGATTCCCATCAAAACATAAGCACAATAACATACACATAACACCGCAACCAACCTACTACCGTCAAACATAAGTACAATAACATTCACATAACACCACAATAATATAGCATACACATAACACCGCAACCAACCCACTACCATCAGACATAAGTACAATAACATACACATAACCCGTTACCTATTACGACCCCAAGGGATAAACGCGACAGGTACGCGCGAAGCTATTTTCCCCGTACAATCGAGCTAAAGAAAAAATCAACATTGACTCGACCTAGCGGCAGGTTAGGATAGAAACTAACTGCTCATCATTCTGGTTTGTTCGTTTATTCTGTACGTGGGATCTTTTTAACACTCATAAAGATCTTTATACTTATTGATGAAGATCTTAGCACCAGTTCATGATGATCTTTGCAGTTACTGATAAAGATTTTTTACCCCCCCCCCCACACACACACACTCAAAAAGAAATAAAATGGAAAAAATTATTGGAAAATATTTGGCCCCACTTTCTCGTACTGTCCTGACCATCACGTTAAACCATACAACCAATTAAGCTTGACGTTTAACAGTTCAACACGACTCCCCCCCCCCCCCCCCACACACACTCAAAAAGAAATAAAATGGAAAAAATTATTGGAAAATATTTGGCCCCACTTTCTCGTACTGTCCTGACCATCACGTTAAACCATACAACCAATTAAGCTTGACGTTTAACAGTCCAACACGACCCCCCTCCCCCCTACTAAAGTATAATTATGTATTTATTTGGAAATAATTACTCACCATTTTAGTTACATCGCATGTTTTACCATCTCTTAACTCCCCTTAACGTTTTTATCGTCACATCAGAACCTTCACCCGATTCCTCTTTTGATGAATGACATGTATTGAGCTCCAGTTACACCGACAATCATTTTACTGTATAACAACAAGTTGGCAATATTGTGGTCATTTATCTTAATACCCCGACTTGTAAACCCACAGCTAAGACTCTGCCAGTAGTCTCTATTTTCAATGACCCCTGCTATACCTCCGATATAGCCCACACTATAACACCCATTATAACACCCGCCATAACCATCACTATAACCCCTGCAATAACCTCCGCCATAACCCCCACTATAACCCTTACTATAACCATCACAATAACCCCCACCATAACCCTACTATAACCCCCGCTATACCCCTTTGCTATACCCTCGCCATAACCCCCCCCCCCCCCCCAAACCCCTGCTATAACCTCCACCATAACCCTTCTATAACCCCACTATAACCCATACTATAACCCCCACTATAACCCCCACCATAGCCCCACTATAACCCCCACTATAACCCCCACTATAACCCCCACTACAACCCCCACTATAAAAAATTTGACTGACGTGAATCATCAAGTTTGTCACACGCGATAACGTCACGTTCTCCCGATAGTTCTGACACATTTAATGCGCACCGCCTGAGTGTGAAACTGTAAAACAAATTTCCAGACGCGACAAGCCGCACTTCATAAACCGCAGTGAACTGTGCAGCACCTTTTACCAGGTGCGAAAACCTACACAGGTGGGAAAAATACATGCTTATTTTTAACCACAAAGAAATTCCCGATGAAGATAAATATTATGGTACGGTAAGGTTTGTGAAATAGATTTTCAAAATTTTTATATTCTTAAAATGACAATTTTAGTAAGGGGTCGGTCATAAATGACGTCACACTCGTAGAGGGGAAGGGGGGGGGGGTCCGTAATTTTGTGACGGCGTGTGATGAGGGGGGGGGGGGGGTCAGATGAAGTGGCGTCACACTTTTGCATTATATTAGAATCTTCGCCGTTATTCCGAGATTTAGAAAAGTGTTTTAATAAACTGTAATAGGAATTGATTAAAATACTCTATGTTGACAGAGTTCAGACACGATTTTTGAAAAAATATCGTATTTTAAGATAAATACAACTTCACTTTCGAGAGGGGGTTGCATGATGAATTGTGACGTCATTTTATGGGGTGGGGGTCTGGCTTTTTGTGACGATGTATGACAAAAAGCAGGGGGGGGGGGTAAAAATAGTTAAAAAAAAGCATGACATCGATTATGATGAACCCTTTTCCTTATATAACCAAATACCACATCATCATTGTTCCTTTTCCTGCCTTGCGGAACTTAGAGCCTCCGTCAAAGCTTTCCCCTCCCCACGGTATCCTGACACTCATCACGGCTCCACCCAGCTCACCCCCACCCTTTCAGCCTCCTCCCTCACTTTACGTCGCCATGTCTTCGAGGGTCGACCTCAGCGTCGCATACCCATGGGCTTCCATTCTATAGCCTTCTGTCTCAACCCAACACTTAAACAGATATAAAGGTTTATAATAACGGACGGTGTGGTCTAGCGGTAGAGAGCTGAACTGCTAACCCGTAAGTCTCGAGTTCGAATCCGGGTTCAAGTCAGTAGACAGACACTGAGTCCACCCAACTCAGATGGGTACCTAACTCACGTTAGGGAAAGTAAAGGCGGCTGGGCATAGTGCTGACCACACTATCTCTTCATATGCCGAGGTCACAGAAACAAGTGAAATCTACTTCACTTACCCCATAGACCGTCAGGTTTGAAAGGGAAACTTTACTTTACTTATATAATAATAAGATTTTATAAGCACTTTCTTACTTGAGAAACAATAGTTTAAGCCGTTAGTAGCATACGCTTTTACCGTAATATGAAGTTCGCAGTTTTTTTATTGGTGGGTAACCATAATGGGTAGTTCATAGTTCGTATGCCGAGGTCCCAGAAATAAGTAAACTCTACTTCACTTTTCCCATGGACCGTCGAAGTTCAAAAGAGAATTTTACTTTTACTTAATCATAATTGGTTTTATGTTTTATTTTCTACTTTTTTTTTCTTTCTTCTTCACTGGAAAATATTTTAAAAAGTAGTAAGATAGATATAGTTCTATTCATTTCTTTCTAAATGAAGTAGACACCCTACACGTTAAAAATATTACTTTGAATCCGCAGTCAGTAGCTTCCGATAGACATCATAATTATCTGCACCTTATTAATGCCCCTTATTACCTACCCCTTATTATGTCTGTAGTCGGCTTTAAGGCATACAAAAATAATATTAGCACACATCAATCAACTGGCTGATCGAGCGATCGATCGATCGTTTGTACTAAATCGCATCATCTCCCCTTTTGTTTAATATTGTCTTTAATAATAACTAATTTAATATCTGGATAGAATAAAAAATTACATATTCTTGCTTTGTCATCGGATGTGAATTTATCTACAAATAAATAAACCACTGCGATAGACGTGGGTCAAAATTGAGTTTCTATATTGGACCACACCCACAGACAGACCTACGAAAAATGTAAAAAGAATGTAACGTTGATAAAAACAACAGCCGAAGATAAAAGTACAACATTATGTATTGTCGTTTTTCTAGTTTCTATTTTTGTAACACATCTGTTCTCAAAGATGCGGAATGATCCGAACCATAGACCACGACTTGAGTTGTGCGTTTTAGTCCAGTCGGCCACAGGCGGATATGGGATATGGGCCTAGAACTAGAGTACACTTTCACCAATGTGATAACTAGGTGACTCGCGTGTGACTACTTGGTGACTCGTTTGTGACAAATGTGCCAGTGTTTGTGACCTCCCAGCATGCCAGCCAATAAGCAATAAACACCCAACATCCAACAACAAACTAAAAAGTCATCCGACAACCAACAAACATATCATTCAATGACCAAACTAAAAAAGTTAACTTTCAATCAGTAAACACGACATCCAACAACCAACAAGACATCCAACAACCAACAAATCATCCAACAACCAACAAGACATCCAACAACCAACAAGACATCCAACAACCAACAAGACATCCAACAACCAACAAGACATCCAACAACCAACAAGACATCCAACAACCAACAAGACATCCAACAACCAACATGTCATCCAATAACCAACATGCCATCCAACAAGTCATCTAACCAACATATCATCCAACAAGTCATCTAACCAACAAGTCATACAACAACCAACATGTCATCCAACAACCAATAAGTCATCCAACAACCCACAAAACATCCAACAACCAACAAGACATCCAACAACCAA